CTATTGAGAGAGGGAACCTCTAAATGCTAGGAAATGAGCACCTACAAACATCTGCCTTGTACAAACATCCCCACACAGACCTCCAAGCCATTGCATTCATTTACACACGCTGCCTCTTGAGACAGGAGCTGCAGCACAGCACGTGGGCAGTGCTGGAGAAGCACAGTACAGCTCTGTCCTGCAGCTGGGGAACTCCAACCCTTCCCAGCATGGTCCCTGTGCCCCGGCAGCCGCTGCACTCCCTCACCTGCCATGGGCTGAGCTCCCAGGGCTGACGCAGATTTTTCCCACTGCTTGGCGCTGCTTTTTCTGCATTTTTTCCTGGTAACTTCACACAAGGGCTAATCTCCACCTTTTCACTTCTTGTCGTGACTTGCTGCATTTTCTTTCAGTAAATGTTTTTCAAATGGTTTCATGAAGTCATGTTTTTGGCTCTTTCCTGCTGCTGGATTTGGCTGCGCTGTTGCTGAGGGGTTGGCTGAGGTCAGTGAGAGCCCTGCTCCAGTCTGCCCTTAGGGACCCAGCCCAGGGGTGCTCTTTGCACTCCCCGTGGCTGGATGTGATAATAGCCAAGGCCTGGTGGCCAAGTTCAAGTTGAACACTGGTTGACTTACTATTGATTTTGCTGGGAGGCCTTCTAATTTTTGGTGATGATGTGTTTCTTTTTGCTAAGGAACATTGCTAGTTTACTTGGTTGGTGTTACTGTTGGACTTTTCTGTGTTTCTTCATTGGACTTAGCATACCAGAGGGTGACATTCATTATGGATTTTGGATAATCATGCAAAATTAGAGATAATAAGCACTGGGAGATTACATTTTGCCATGAAAAACTTTCTGCCGAACGTCTTCTTTCACCACCTGCAAAAACATTGAGAATTGTACTTGGAAGGACACTACCCAACCTGAGCCTAGCTGTGACGCAGGAGTCTGACCCTGGCCTTCCTGTGGATGCCAGGAGCAGCCAACACTTTGGAAGGCTTTTTTCAGCCCCAGAGCCTGGCTGTTTCTGAATGCAGTCAAGGTGAGCTGTACTTCCAAAAAGCTTTCCCCTGCACAGCCTGCCCTTGGGTAGAGGACAGCATCTGTGCTCTGGGCACACAGCTCTACCCATCCTTCTGATTGCTTCAGAGGTGCTGCTTATATGGTCAGAGCTGTGGGTACTTATTTCAGAGATGAAAGCTGGGCTCGTCATTAAGTTCCTCAGAAATCCCTAGTTCTTTGTTTGCTGTGCTCTAAATGCCATCAGATACCGGAGCCATTTTGAGACAGACCTTCAGATACTGCCCTATTGCAGCAGAGAAATGTCAGTGCTGCCTCAGGTAGAGAGAGAGAGAAGAATTTGTGGACTTTAAGCTTTGGGAGGCCATAATATTCTTCTTTCTTTCTGACCTCCTGCATAATGCAAACTGCATCATCCAGTTTTTTGTCAGTGCAGTAATTTCTGGTGAATCCAGGTAGGGTTTGAGTGGATTAGCTGTATGTTCTAGTGGAAACTGATTTCAGTAATGCCATATATTAATTTATATCTCTCATACAAGACAGTAGGTGCAAAACCAGTGCTCTTTCTGTTGGAATCATGGTTTGCACATCTGATTTTCAGCTCAATTGTCTGATAAAGACTGGAGTCGCTTCCCATATAAGACAGCCCAACCTTTGCCAGGCTGCTGAGACATGCCTGCTGCTTCCAAAATTCACCGGGACGTTTCACGTAAGGGAAGAGCAGCAATGGCTGATATCTGTTTTTTTGTCACAGCAGCTAGATGTGGAGGTATACGTACATTCACAGGCTGAGTGATCTGACAGGGAGCTGTGGCTGCCCGGAGACAGGATTGTGTTTCACACCCTGCTTGCTGACTTGTGGAGGCAACATTTTCAGTGCCAGTTCCCATGCACGGATGCAGTCAAGAGGTCTCAGCACAGTGTACAGTACATTTATTAGGGTTGGAAGTTAACAATAAGAGGTCAGCCTTTGAAATTATATCCCACCCTTTTGTTGCAGCAGATTGTTAGAATTTGACTCCCATGAAAGAGAAGCCTCTTCATGCTACATTGATACTCCTTATAGAGTACATGGTATATATTCACTCCATTAGCTCACTTCAGAGGGTTGCACTATCTGAGAAGCTATTGGGAGTTTAAAAAACCTTGCCAAGATCTTTTGGGTGCTGATGGGTCACTCTAGCACCCTGCTTTTACAGATGAAGAGAGGCAGCAGCACTGAGCATGTGCTGGTGGCTAGGGATTGTGCTGCTTGATTGTGTATCCCATCCATCAGCTTACTGCTTTTGTGGTGAGGATTAATTCATAGTTTCTGCAGCAGCTCAGCATCACTCTCAGCAGCCAGTGAGGAGAACATATTCCAGCAGTGGGCGAGTTTGAAGTGTTCACTCACCTCCTGCCTTCTCTGTACAGCAGACATGGAGCAGATGGAGCCTAGAGTTGCCTGATGCTTGGTGTCAGCTGAGGTTTCTCAATACATGGGTTGAGTGCACAAACTAGAGCTAGCTGGTCAGCTCTAAACAGTCTTTGTTTTGACTCTTTTGTTTTTGCTTTTTTTTTCAGAGCCCAAAACAGCCCACCTCAAGGAATGGCACTTGGCTAATCCTTATCCTAACAAAAGGGGTGTTTTAAGCAGTAAGGAATGCATTTACATTGGCTCTCTGCTTGTTGCATTGGATGCCTTTGCTTGGTGCAATTTTGGCATCATTTTGAACAAAGCAAGTCTGGGAATGAGCAGTCCAGTTTAGGTTTTGGTCTCTTATGGTTGCACACGAATGGGAACCTGAGAAAAATATGTTAACTTTCCAGAGATTAAGTCTTACATGATTTTTCCTTACACACGTTTAGCAAAAGCTTCCTGGCATAATGGTGCCAGTGGTAGGTCGAGAGCCGGAGGATATGGGCCTTATTCCCAGCTCTTTCTCTCCTCTTTGCCTTGTCTTTTGGACTCTTTCAGTCATTACCACTCCCAGAACCAGCGAGCTCTGATCTTGTTTGAGCTTTCTAAATGTTCCAGCAATGCAGATCAGAGCTAGTGAGGTGCAGATATCCATCTGTGGGGACAAAGATCTGGGCAGGGAATTTCTAGAGAAATATGGGCTTACCAGGAGATTTCTGGCATGTTTTGCAAACCAAAGAAGTAAAGACTTGCAAAGGCTTGTTTGAACCAAGTCTCTTGAGAGATTTTGGTTGGACCTATTTCTGGTTTGGAAACCAAAATATTGTCTGGAGATCAGAATTATACAGAAATTTTGGGCCAGAGTCCCTTGGGATGAAAATGGTGTTTGGTTTCTGTTGGTAGGAAGGGACAAAAATGTGTTGAAAGGTTCAGGGAAAAACGGAAGTTGTACTGTTCCTTTGGCTTGGCCCTGAAAAAACTGCATGAGTGAAGAATCCAGGGAGAGCACATGGATGCCCCAGCTGGAGAGAGCCATGCTGGTTTGCTCCTGTCCTGGTGATGGCTCTTACAAACTAGATGCTCTCAGCAGTGCTTGTATTGATGGTTTGGGGTGGGATGGTGGAAAACAGCTCCGCCATAGGGAGTGCAGCGGCAGGAGCTGTCCTGAGAGGTGTCAGGATGGGGGGAGGTCACGTTGGAGCTGGGCTTTTCCGCCAATTTATCAGATTCTGGGTCCTGTGAGGTCTCTGAGCTGCAGATATCCCCTCATCTTTCACTCTGAAGGCCCCCCCAGACAGAGCACTGGGGAGTATTCTGGCAGTCTTCTTTCTTCTCCCTGTCATCTCTTTAGTCTGGAATGACCAGACTTTTTATCCTCTTGACCTAGAAGAGTTTGTCCCTGCTGAAGAGCTCTTGCAGTCAGAAACAAGTTGGCTTCTTGCTGCATCTCCCCTTCTTTTCATTTCCTCACAGCCCAGATGCAGCAGACTTGGTCATTCCCGAAACAGTGACCGATTGTCTGGTTTGGCTGGTTCAGCTATTGGCTAAACATAATGCTCTTTCATCTTCGAGGAAATCGTCTGGACACCTCCACCAGTGTGGGGCTTGCTTTATGTTGCTGTTTCAATAGGCAAATAAAAGCAGCTATTTTCCCAGCTTAAACATAACCTGGTTTCTCCTACGAATTAGAAATACTTGAGGGGAAGGAAAAGATTGTGTGTTACTGAGTTTTTAAGAACTATAATCCTAAGTTAACAAGCACGCTAGCTCTTTTCCTGCCTTGGGAAAGGATTCTTCTCCTCCCCCAGTATTTCCCTTCTCCTTATGAAATATCTGAAGCACTCACACTTCATCATTCTTGTTGGGACCTAACGAGGGCAGCCATCAATGCCCTCTCACACTGTGTGCATGGTCTATGGCTTTCCTTTTGCTCCTTGGGCAAATCAGGGCGCTTTGGCTGAAGTTTCAGATTTCTTTTTGCTAGTAGCAGAGTAAAGTGTGTTACGAAAGGAAACCCTCTTTTGGAGTTTCGCCATTGAGAGGAGGAGACAGTCACCTGTAAGTATTCATCTGCTCAAGGTTTTGAGAACTCTGAAAGCCAATGCCTCACTGTTTTTTTTTTTCGTTTCCTAAGATGACAGGAAGGAAAGCGTAGGCTTCTGGCTGCGCTTCAGCGGGCTGAGGCTTAGGAAAAAGACACAGCTCAGGACAGGCTCTCATCCAAAGCCTGGCTGGTGGGTGAACAGCATTGAGTGAGAGCTTGTATTTCTCAGAAATTAATACAGAAATAAATAACACCCCAGACACTGTGTAACATCTACAACGTTACAAGTGATGCACTTCAACTTTCTTTTCTTGCTGTGGTTACCAAGGTTTTGACTGAAATAATAAGAGACCAGGGAGAAATACACCTAGATTTCTTCCTCTAGAGAATGAGTCAAGTTCCTTGCATGCAGTTCCAGTACAATGAAATTGAGAAGTCTGGCCAGCAACTGGGTTCAACAGGAAAGCTGAGGACAAGCTTTTGTGCCACCGCTAATAGGTCTTTCTCCCTTGGCCCTGCCAGGCAGGAGGAAACAAACAGTCCTTTTTGTTTTGCAGTTCATGACGAAGAACCCCAGCATGAGGCTGGGCAGCACAGCATTGGGTGGTGAGAGTGCGATCCTGCGGCACCCCTACTTCAAAGAACTGGACTGGGAGCTGCTGAACCAGCGCCAGATGGAGCCACCATTCAGACCCCGAATTGTATGTGGGAAGGAGGGGTGGGGGAAAGAAAGGGGCCTGTTTTTGTTTTGTCTCTTCTGGGGTTTTTAAGGAGGTTTATTGCTGTGACATCCAAAAGGCGGAGGAGGAAATGCAGCCTTGACTTGAAAGCTCTGGTTGGGGAAGCAGGAGGTGAGGTCTCTGGTCTTGGCTTGGCTGCTGGTTGGACAGATGACGTTGTCCAGATTGCTTTTCCTCTCCATGCTGGATTTTCAAAGTCTGCTCAGTGCCAAAAGAGGAAGGTTTGTAAAAGCAGATGCTGCAGGTCAGGCACCTAGCTACCTAGGCCTTGCCCACATGTAAAACAGAGTAAGTAATCCTCATTCTACCTGCTCCACCACCAGTGCTGCCCATTTTCCCATTGGTGCCACGTGTCCAAAATGATGCACTGTGATGTTCTTCTCTGTGGAGAGCCTTTCTGGGGTCCTCTCTATGACTTCACTGCCTTTGAAGTTATTGGTTAGGCTGGCTGTGTCTCATGCTGTGGTCACGCTGCTAACTCTTAACAGCAGTGGGCAGCTTGGTCCTGTTCCACAGAGCTCAGTGGGTGCAGGATAAGGCATCCTGGGTAACTGCAGCAGTACAGGGTCAGCCACTTAATTGGTTTTTAATGTTAATCAAAGACTAAGAGATGCTCCTTAGTGCATCTGTGATCTGGGCGAAATCTGGAAACATTAGACTTAAGTGTTGATAAAACATCTTGTTCTGGATGCAGGGAAAACATGTGCCTCGTGAAAACGTGTCACAAACCCAATTTGTGTGTGTACATTGTAAACAGTCCCACTTTGGTGAAGCTAGGAGTCCAGCACCTGGAGTCAAGCCATCTGTCTTTCTGCTACCTCATAATTAATTATCTTGTAAGTTTAATGACTGCATGTAGAGGAGTGTACCCCCCAGCAAGCCCAGCTGAGACACTGCAGATGAGGAAGGACTGTGTGGAGTCAGCTAATTGGGAACATAGCTGATGGACCATTTTGAATGGCTTGATCTTTGCTAACACTGGAGGAAAGGGACTGATTTATGTGCCCTATCCTTTTGCATCAAGGCAGGCAACCCTTCAGCAGCAGTATCAGTTAAATCAGCGATAGGTTTGCCTGTCAAAAGCCTGCAAAGACTCTAAAAGGCTTTACACTGTAAGAGGCTCTGAGGGGCACTCAGCTGCTCCCAGTACAGACCCAGAAAAATCTCTGTAAGCTTTGTTGAGGAACGGTTCATTGCACTAAAGACTGGACTAAAGATGCAAAGCAAATATCAAACTGATGGTGCATACTTGTGACATCTCTTCCCTTTGTCTTTTCCATTTGACAGAAATCCAAAGATGACGTGAGCAACTTTGATCCCGATTTTATAAAAGAGGAGCCCATTCTGACTCCCATTGAAGAAGGAATTCTTCCGATGATAAACCAGGATGAATTTAGAAACTTTTCATTCACAAGCCCAGAACTGCAGCAATAGCTACGACTCTGAGAAAGGGCTGCTTAGAGAACTGGGGGGGATGAAATGAAAATCAGGTTTACCAGAAATTTCATTCTCGAAGAGTAACAGTGCTCTGACTTTACATGATACAGAAGCACCACCGTCAACATTACCTTAATGTGAAATCGAAACCTTCCTGTGTTTGTAGGATTTATTCAGCTTTTGGATCAAATATTGACAGGGTGGAACAAATGTGATATTGTAAATAGCTGCTGCAGACGGAGAATTGGATGCTGAGCTACTTGGCTCAGCCTGAATGTCATCGCTTGCAGCGAATTCGAGGAGTTGACATGAGCACGAAACAAGTGTCTTGCAGCTCTGAGCCAAACAGACTTATAGTAATTCTGATTGTTTGCAAGGCTGTTTTGTGGAGTCCCAGCACTGTCCAGCATTTGAGATCCATGATCCAGCGTCCCATGGCCTGATTGAACCAGATATTCCTGCTGACTTTACCCATTTCTGAAGTATTTATTTCTTTCCGAAGGACGAATGACTCTCTTTGCCGCTGTTTGGGTTTGCAAGTGAAATATTTCATTGTGCTAACTGGCAGAAGGAAAAAAACAAGTGCCCTGTGCCCACACAGATTCTTCCAAATCAAAGGGAAGTCACGTGCTCGTTGTGTTTTACTGTTTGTGCGATATGAAAAGTTTCAGTGTTGCATTCTGTGAAATGCCTTTTTACATCATGCATCTTCAATGCTCCATTCTTTGCCTCCCAGCTGTTTTCAACTATAATGTAACCAGTAAAACCTTACTGTTTATTTAGGCCCATTCTATTTAATTATGCTATACAGAGCCCCTTTTGTGGGTTTAGTGCCTCATTAAAATTTTGATCTGAAGTGGTATTGCTAATTTGTAGCATTATTGTGATGGGAGCTGCAAAGCTGGGAAATCCCTCGAAGTTGCTGACCAGTAAGTAACGTAAAAGGATGACTTTCTCCAGAGAGAATGATAAGCCTTATCTGAGAAAAGGGTGACTTGGTTTGGCTTAGATTTAAGGGCTTATGACTCACAGGGGCACTTCTTTTCAATTGCAGCCTCAAGCCTCTGCCAGGCAGATGGAGGCAGGTTTTTAGTGCTGTTTGTGAAAACCAGACAGAAGTCAGACTGTGAGATATTTCTGTGATTTCCCTGCTCCTCTGAGAATTGAATGATTTTCCTGTAGCTCCGTGGTACATCTTTGCATTCTGTGCTAGGCTTGAAGCTGTTATGTCAGTGTTATAACCTCTTTTTGGGCTGATGAATTACAGGAGAAGAAGGATTTCAAACTTATTGTTGAAAGGGCGTTTACTTTACTTTTCCTTACTTTTTTTACTTTTTTTTTTTACTTCTACCCTTAAACCATCCACTGAACTGTTTGGCAGGTGCAGCATAGGTTTTGTTACCTTTGGACTTTTTTTGCCTTTGTGTTTGTGTATTGTACCACACCTCCCTCCTTATTTCCTGCATTTTCTCTATAATCTAAGCATGGCTTCATCCTCTGGTCTCCTCCCTTCTGTGGACGTATTCTGGCTGTATTGCATCCAGCCAGGCTCTCAGCCTTTGCTGATCTGTAGGTCGCTGGCTTCATCAAAGCGGGGCAAGGGAGAAGGAAGGACAGATGTGTGTGAAAGAAAGAAGAGCAGATATCCAGAAAACTAATCCAAGAGCCAGCTGTGCAAGCTAGCTTGAGTTGCTTTCTTATATAGGAAGAAGTGGTACAGGAATGAATGCATTTGAGTGAAGGGGTCACTGTGGCATCTCACTGATGTGTGTTAAGCATAGTGTTTGGTGCAGATGTGACCCTAAGTAGCTCCAGCATTACTAACTGCAGCATTGCTGGCTTCCCAGGCGTAATTGCAGCAAATGTGACCATTGAGACTGGGAGCACCAAAACTTTTGATGCAACCTTTTATGAATTTTGTGACAGTTTTTTGGTTCACTCTCTGTTGAGGATTATGAATGAGCCATCTTTCCCTGGAGATCAGTGTAGGAGAACAGTAAGTGACAGGTGGTTTTGCCAACATGTTGGTGACATCCCAGGTTTTCATTGGTTGTGCTTTCCCTGGGGCTCGGGAAACCTCCTGGAATGATTCCTCTTGGAGGAGCTGGTGTTGTCTTCAGCATCGAAACATTTGATCCTGTCTCCACAACCACAGAGTCCAAGCAGCTCTGCTTATACTACAGATGGCACAAAGCATGTGGAAGATACACCTTTGAAGAATTGTGTTGGGATAACAGATCCCTCCAGATTCCCCAACCAATCCATCCTGAAAGCTTGGGGAATGGAAACTAGGACGCTTCTGTAGGTGTGCCGTTGTGATTTGTGTGAAGTGTAAATTCATACAAGCTTGAAGCTTGTAGGTCACTGGAAGATGTAAAATGGCATCTGAGGCCATCCTACAGAGCAGGAAGAGCTCCTGCCCTGGCTAGCCAATGCCTGTTCTGACCTAAAGGTTTTTGACTTGATGGGGCAGGGATGAAATACCAAAGGGAAGTTCTTACCCAGCTTCACTTCTCATTGATTTCCAGTGCCGTCAGGGTCACTCCACCCTACCCGTAACCTCATTGGACTACATGCTGGGACTAGAAGTCTCATGTTCTGCTATAATGCCTTTGATTTTCACAATTTCACCTGGATCTTGCTTCACTATTCGGGGTAGCTTTTCCCTTCCATTGCCTGCCTGTTTATGTAATGACTTCAGCGGCTCGAGTCAGCAGATCTTGAGTCAGCCACATTTGGCCGAGGTCCGTGAACTCTGCTGTACTTTTATGAGTAGCTGCCATTTCAACTGTGCTCCCTCCAAACTCTGTCAGCAGCACAGATGAAGATCAGCTCATTTACAAGTATCTGCAATAAAGCTGCTTTCGAAAAAGGTGAATTAATGTTTACACTGCTGGTGAATATGTAAAGAAATGTTGATTTTTAAAACAAAGCAGGAAGGGGGAAAAAAGAGCTTTTCCATGAGCTAGCCTGCCAGCTCTTCTGGCTTCATTGCTTGCCTGAGTGAATGCAAGATGGTTTTAGCCTATTAATTTGGTTCTGGCTTCAGGAGCGTAAGCTGGCAGACACAGGTTGCAAGGTTTAAAGCATAAAATGCTTGTATTTGCTCCAGTGTGAAAACTGGCAATAGAGCAAATTGTAATTAGTTCCCATTGCACTGCTTTTAGTGCTTGCATGAAAAGGGAAGGTCCCTTTGATGTCTCGAAATTTGTCTTCTGCGCAATCCTTTCATTTTCAAAGAGGTTGATGAAATTTAGCTATAAAAGTCAATGGCCTACATCTCATTTGAGGCCTTTGAAAGTCGAGGGTAAGAAGCAGATGGTATAGAATGAATAGATTAAAATCATCTTGCATCTACTCATACTGACTGTGCTGCCAAAGACATCATTTTTAATACCACTACTTGATAGGCAGCGGGAAAAAAATCTCACTGTACTCCAAGTGCCTAAGGGATTTTAATGTAAGAAAAATTCAATTCTAACTGCTGGATAAAGATGTTTTGTGTGCATTCTCAAAGGTTGGCACAGGTTCCTTTTTCTTTGTGTCCTAAATGAGAGTCCTAAATGAGAGTTAATGGCCTTAAGTTGCATCAAGAGAGGTTCAGGCTCGATATTAGGAAATATTTCTTCTCAGAAAGAGGGCTAATGCAGTGGCACAGCTGCACAGGGAGTGGTGGAATCACCGTCCCTGGAGGTGTTCAAGATCTGTGGTGATGTGGCACTGAGGGACGTGGTTAGTGGGCATGGTGGGGGTTGATGGCTGGACTAGATCTTCAAGGTCTTTTCCAACCTTAATGATTCTGTGAAATGGTTTGCCAGCAATATTTTTGCTTGAAGCTGTGTGTTCCTTCTGCAGACGTTGCTGTTTCCCCGACTGGATAGGAGATAGGCTTCAGTGCCTGCAGAATGAGGGCTTGGTTAGCCAGAGCCAAGAGAAGTGAAGGGGAAAATGTGTCTGGGGTCATCCACTCTATCCTAGCCAGTAAGAAGAGAGCTGTTGGTTCGTTCAGCAGTGTGTAGTCATGAGATTTCTGCTCCTCCCCAGGGAACCATTTCACAGCTTTTACAGCTCTTGCTGTTAAGTAAATTTCCTGATATTTGGAAATGACATGAATGAGATAAAAATCTGCCTTATCATGCAATTAGATTTCTTATTGAAAGCTGCAAGTAAGGCTTTGTATTACTAAATAGTTACAAGGCTGCCAAACCCCAGCATTCAGAAATGATGAGTCAGGTCTTCTGAAAATCACAGCTCATTCAGAAGTCAAGAGCTTTCCAAAATAATACATGTCAAAATCTTTTCATTTTTTTTAACATCTGGATTATGAATATTTCAGATTCTGACTTGCACTTCTCCACATCAATAGGTGGAATGTGTTGTAATCACATTTTTTTTAGATGAAAGCTGGAGATTGTGAATTGATGAGAATCCAGGCATTGGATCTTGGAGAGAAATGCCAGATACCAAAATATGAGTGATAAAACCTCAAGAACAGAAGACGTGATGGGTTTTACATATTTTTCTGCCTCTTCCTATTCTTTCTGTATTGTCACCACTGTGTGGTCTCTTGCCTCCCTGTCTCCAAACCCATTTAGCAGGAGTGAGGAAGGTGAAGAGGAAGGCTGGGAAGGCGTTGATGACTTGTGTCGTTGCTGTGCGTAGAGCTCATCGAGCAGCATTGCTGACCTCCTGCATCAGTCCTTGCACAAGAATGTCACTTTTGCCTTCTGTTCATCCATCCCCACTCGTTGCCCTGTGCTCAGCATCGCCCCTAGGCCATCGCCAACTGGAAATCCTCTGCTGATGAAGCCAAGCCCATAGGAGGAACAGGAGGTCAAAAAGCGTGGAAGAACAATAAATAATGGTTGGTGCATGGTTACCAAGCAGTGTTGGCATCTGGAAGTCTTGAATGAGATGGTGGAGACCCCGAGTCAGCCAGAGTCCTAGTGATGTCCATATGGAAGCTGTGGGAGAAAGCCTGGCTATCTCCCCTCTTGTGCAATTGCTTAAAACTAAGAAAGAGAAGGGACAGGAACGTGACCTCTGAGAAATGGGGTCACAATTCTGGGTTGCTGTTACTCCAGCTCTGAGCTCCCACAGCTGTTGTTAGCAATGAGTTTTGTAAAAGTGGAGATAAGTGATTTTAGCACTGAGTTCAGGATTGCTCAAAACTAGTGAGTCAGCTCCTCCAGAGTTTCCTTCCCTCCTCTCTTCAGAAGTGGGGTTTGGTTTTCGTCTGATTTCTCATTTCCTAACATTTAATGCGAGCTGGGGTCATGGTTTCAGTTTTTCTACAACAGTGAGAAATGTATTTTTTTCTTAAATGAAACCTGCTTCCTCTTGATCTCACTTCCAGGAGAAGATTTCAAGGTCCTCAAAACTGCGCAATACTTGCAACGCAAGCAGTGCAGCCACCAAATACACCAAGGCAGAAAAGCATTGCGATAACTGGCAGTAATGCTGTTGTTGGAGACCAGCTGAGGTGTGCTGTGGTTGGACTGAGCATGAGAGGCAATTTTATACTTTTCCATCTTATCTAATTCTAGACTCAAACGCAGAACACTTCCAGGGCTCCTAGTTGTTGTCTGCTGCCCAGAGCTACTTTTTGCACAAGTCTTGCTTTGTTCCCAAATGCAAAAACTGGAAGGAAGAGGATCTCAGTTACCTTGGCACTTGGTGTTAACCGCAGATTTCTTCTGAAATGAGACTTAATGTCACATTCACCCCAAGAAATGGGTCATTGTGTTTGCAAATGACAGCAAACGTCTGACTGAGATCTCCTCTAGCTTCTGGGGTGTTGGTGTCTCCCAAACTTGGAGTGAACACAGATTGATAGCTAGAACCTTCTGACTTGGGGCAGGGAGGCAGTGATGAGTAAGTATTTCATCTAGAGCTGAGTCACCGTTGTTCTTATGCTCTGTGAACACACTCTTGGGCTTGTGCTTGAGTATTGTTATCTGATAGACGGATCTGAACATGTTACTTTCCTTGGGGCAGCCTTTCTCTTTGCCTCTTCTCAGGCCCTTTATTCTTACTCCTCGCTAATCCTCTTTTCATAGAGAAGGCAGAGCATTTTCCACTGGACACTGGACAAACCTGCTTCCAGCTGCCTAATGAGACTGGACAAGTGAGCCCTATGTCACTGTGTCACAGGACAGTGTTCCAGGTTACTCTCAATACTCTTAATTCAATTTTAACTGGAGGAAAAAAGACAAGTATGACCTCTAGACTTGCTCAGCTAAGCCTGGATTTCCACTTGGGGGAACCTTCATCACTGAGTGTCACTGGGGCTCCACGCAGACCTATTAAAATTGCTGCATAGAGCCTGGGTCTAAATTACACCCTGGAAATTGAAAGCTGTCTTCTGGTTTTGTTCCTAATGAGCAAGAATTTCCACTGCCAGTTCGGGATGCCTTCTCTAATCTGTTGCCCTTACTCCTTTAATTTTCCTTGCACTGCAGCAATTTACCATGGCCCCGAGTCTCGATGCACAGCAGGCATTTCCCTGGTGCAGACAGAGGGGAGCTCAGCTATTGCCAAGCTGGTGAAGACGCCATAACCCAAAAATGGGTTGTCTCAGCTACATTGGTGGAGCCTGGCAATTTGTCTGAGCTGGAAAATCCCCAAACTGCAATCACTGCCTGGGACGCTTGAGTGGAAGATGACAAAATTATAATGTGGCTCATCTCCCTGTGATGAATTAGTCTGTGTCTGCATATAGACCTACCTGTGTGGGTCTGGATCGGCCAGCATGACCGTAGAGTTGCTCTGGGTCTCTATTTTGGCTCCGGTGCCTCTACACTGGTTTAAATATAGAGGAAGTGAAGCACCCACAACCATGCACGACCAGGGCCTGGTGACACTGGTGAGATCCTGATGGAAGCCCAACACTGGCAGCCAGCCCATGGTGGGACTGGTTCCTACAAAAGACGAGGCACGAGACAAGGTGCCTGGAGCTACCCGACCTGGGGTGAGAGCCTCAACAGAGCAAGCTTGTTAGTGTTTGGCTGGACTGGCAGAGGCACATGAGGTCAGCCAGGGACATTGCCTCAGTCCTCCACCCACCCGTGTCCTCAGGCTGGGCCATAACAAGCAGTTCCTGGGGCAGTGAGCAGCTCCTGAGAGAGCACCCCATACAGCTGGTGGCTGGAAGCAGGAGATTTTACAGCAATATCCGAGCGAGCGGCCTAACTGAATATCAGCAGTCAAAGCCTAAGAAACTATCGTGCCACGACCCTGTCCTGCTTCCTACTCCCAACCTCTCCCACAGCACGCTGCTGCCTGGGGCGGTTGTGGGGCTACAGGAGCCTGGCGCTGCTTTAGGGTCATCAGGCAGAAGTCAGTAAGCGACACCTACATTTCTGTGTCTCAGAGTCCAAATAGAAGCAGGACTCTGCGGCTTGGTTTTATTACCATCATGAAGCGAATATGGCAGCTTTCTGAGATGAGGTACAAGATAAGTGTGCGGCAAGCCCAAGTATACAGGTAATTTTCTTGTAATTGCTGTTGTAGTGCAGGAGAAATGAAAAACCGTGCATCTCAGGGTATACACGCCCTCATCCTCTGATTAGATGCGTATAATGAGATGGAAAGCTAATCTATCATATTTAGAATCATTCAATTAGAGGGTTAGGGCTATGGATGCATTTAGCTTTAGCATTAGGGAGATATTTAAACCACGGGCTGTACTTAGTCATTACTATGCTAAGTGATAGTAGATGCAGGTCACCCTATATATGGGCTCTGGTAATCAGCTTGCAGTATTACTAATTAAGCCTTTTCACCTTTGGGATCCCTTCCATGCCACCACACATAAAGTGGGCCATTGAGGTCATGGTGACACGCTCTTTAAAACCCAACACCCACTGTTTGTTGTGG